AGATGCATTTTTTGCAACTGATCCTGGTTAAGTCTAATAAATGTATAAAATTTCTACTCAGTAATTTACATCATTAGACTACAAGACCCCTCAACTACATAATTGTAGAGTAGAGCACATCAAATTTTAAGAGACAGTTAAATGTATTCAATTTTGGAAATCTGTCTTCAAATGTGATTCAATATGTAATCTAGCACAGTAGGCAGATATCTACACAACTTAACTATACATTGAACACTGAACGAACAAGGAAAACTTGTGTCAGTCAATGTCTGGCAAATAGCCTTTGACTTTGATATCAGATAAACATGATAAACAATATATACATAGTTTCTAAGTTAAGCAAGGCATGCGCAAACTAAGAATTTGGCACCCACCCCTGCAGTTCTCATTCACCTTAACATTGGAACGACTGGAATCGTGTACAGGTATAAATATGTTTCATTTGATAGTTCAAATCACCAAAATTGCACAATTATGGTGTAAGGAAAATATTAGACATTTAGTTTTAATAATATATACTCATTAATAATTAGCCGGCTTAAACCATTGACATGTGGTTTCACCTGGTCTGATGAATTTGTTCACAGTGATTGAGTCTGTGGCATTTAAATTTCAGCTATCTGGGGCCAGTCGTTCAAAGCTGGGTTAGCATTAACCCAGGGTTAGCAATAACCCAAACAACAGGCCCCTTGGGGACGACTGGCATTTATGTATAAATATGTTTCATTTGATAGTTCAAATCACCAAAATTGCACAATTATGGTGTAAGGAAAATATTAGATTTTTAGTTTTAATAATATTAGCCGGCTTAAACCTTTGATATGTGGCATCACCCGATCTGATGAATTTGTCCATAGTGATTGAGTCTGTCGCATTTTAATTTTAGCTATCTGGGGCCAGTTGTTCAAAGCTGGCCGTCATAAATAACCCAAACAACCAGCCCCTTGGAGACGGTTTTTAAAAGTTTGGTTAGCTTAACCATAGGTTTATTTATTTAGCTTTTTATACATAAGCTAAAATTCACAGCAAACTTCCTGACAGCAATGGCTTGTCTATAAATTTGGAAATATTTTTTCAGAGATCTGGTCTGGATCGGAGTTTTAAATACAACCGGTTTTAAAGCGCCAGCATAAAACCGCTAAATATTTAATAATACACTGGGTTTATACGAAAGAATTCTGTTAGGTTTTCCTTTGATAAAATTTGTTTAATATATTAATATTAAAGCCAGCCAAACAATGCAGCTGTGAGCTGACACATCGTGATGCTATTATAATTTAATAAAACGAAAGCTAAACTTGCGGCGAAATGCAAATATGGAGCGATGCATATAAACAGCAAAACGTACTAAACTATAAAGCACACAACATACCTTTAGTCTTTGCCTTTAGCCGGCGTGTCGCTTTCTGCCGGCGTGTCGCTTTCTGCCGGCGTGTCGCTTTCTGCCGGCGTGTCGCTTTCTGCCGGCGTGTCGCTTTGAATTCAGAATTCAGATGGCAAATTCATAGTCCAAAACATAGTCTTCGATACTCCTCCTTGCACCCAGAATAAGTTACATGTTTACGTAGTCTGTAAGCGTGTGCTATTATACTAAACAATACGTTTTACTCCGCATAAAAACTGTTCATATATTAGACTCTTTTTGCCATTTTCCCGCGCGTTCAATCTTAGTCCGGGAAACAATAAAACGAAGGAAAATAGAGGGATTGCTCGCAGTCTATTCATATATTGGCATAAATGTTCGAGTAAATTTTAGCTTTGTCAGCTCGTAACGCGCGTTTGTCTGTCAAGGTTATCAAATTTCCAACGGCGAAAATAAAATTTAATTTAGCACTAACGCACAGACAGGAGCCAAGGAACGACGATTTGCCAATACACGCAGTGTTCTGATTGGCACACAACAATTGCAAGCTCGGCAGTATAATATTGCCTGGGTTTCCTCTGAAGTCCACAGTCAAAACAATCTGCCATTCTTCAGCGTGTTATACTGTATTATAAATTTATAGCGCACATATTAATATAAATTGCTATTTATTTATAAATTATATTCGTTATTGCTGATTCCTGATTATTCAGAGAGACAAACTGTTCCAAGTTGAGTGTCTGGCGGTATTGCCGTATCATGTGAACATGAACTCGCAACGCTCAATGTCAGAAGCCAACAACATGAATTCCGAATTCGCAACGCTGAATTACAGAAGCCATGCAGAGAGCAGAGGGTAAGTTTTCAAATATATAGTAGCTTCTAGAGAACCTTGTAACAAGCTTTCGTTGGTGGAGATGCAACAACCTGAAAAATATAAGGCGAATTTTGACGTTTCGAGCAAAGGCCCTTCGTCTGGAGTATTGACTATTAACTAAACTCAGTAAGTTTTATAATACTCCAGACGAAGGGCCTTCGCTCGAAATGTCGTAATTCGCCTTATAGTTATATTTTCCAGGTAGTTGCGTGAATCCCTACGAACGAAAGCTTGTTAATGTTGACACTACCAACACTGACACATACAGTTCTAGAACCTTGTGACGGCCTTGTGCCTTGAGTTATAAAATGAATTGGCTACATGATCAGCCTCGTACCCAGGCGCTAAAAATGGGCACATTACAGTGTTATTATATAGATCAGTGGCTCGAGCGCGCGGGGGTGCTTGGGGAGGACGCAGGAAACGAAGCGCCTGGGAGAATATGTAACAAACATGGCGGATGACTTATCCATATTCATAAATGCAAATGAGGAAATTGCTATTCTCGATGAAATTGAAAGGCCTGTCCATCGAGCGGTACATTTGGGAAAGATTTTATGCGCGAATGATCAATGCGTTAATAATAAAGATTTTTTTCTCAAAAACGGTATTGCTCATCATTATCGAATAAAGCACAAACAAGATTTTACGAGCGCTGAAAGAAGAGAATCTACTCGAATATGCAATGAATTACATCAGGAAGAAACAAAAAAATCCATGGAAACGATATTTGAATATCGTAGGAGAAAGGTAAGAATGGTCAAGAATGTAAATCCTGCTATAAACATATACATGTATGTCTATTATGTCAACTATAAAAATTAAAATATTAATGTTCGAGTTAATGTATGAAATGTTTTATTATACAGAATCAAAGTTACCGTGATGTTACTGCATCTTCTTGTGGACGAAACCTTACATGTGCCGTACACAACGAGCATGAGGCTGTGCTATTTATGTGCCTGTTACAGTACCATGCAGGATGTTTAAATTCATATAGTCAAGGAAATCAGCCGTGTGAAGTTGTAATAACAAGTGATGTGTTGGAGGCAAAATACAATTGCTGGTATTTAAAGAAAAATGTGGGCAGTGGTGTTTATTTTCAAACCGAATGTTTTTTTGTGAAACGGGTATGTTCTCATTCCAATTAATTGTTCATTTATCTTTCGATATAAATGCAAGGTTGTTTTTATGAGCCTGGCCATAATGATAGCAAAATTTAAAGCGGTTATATAAATATTTTGACAACATTGTTGAGATACATATATTTAAGATACTAAGTAACATCGAAGGCTTTATTAATTAAATATGATAATATCACATAAATTAATAAAGCTTTTGATTTTGCTTGGTAATATACTTAGTAAAGGTTTTCCATATTGTTGCTACCGAATATTTAATTTCATATGCCATGGCTAAGACTGAGTACAGTTGTGCTACAATCAAGCAAAGCTATTTGATGGTGGTTTTAATTACATTAGCTATTTTCATTTCCAAGATTGATAATGTAAACCAACCTTACTGTAACAATCTGTAATAAAACATGTAATAAATCAACATGCCCCTACATGTTCATTTTATCACATATTCACTTCTACAGTAATTACTGTACTTAATTGAAGTTTACACATTCATTAACCCATTAGTCACATTGCACCCTGATGGGCCCTAGTTTATTATTTTACTGTCTAACGCCAGATGATTTTGCTTGTCAAGAGGAGAGCGCTGGCACTTAATGGGTTAACTAGCATATCTGCCTATATGTATAGTTAACCCATTGAGTCGCATTGCGCCCTGATGCACCCTACTTTATTATTTTACTCTGGCTAATGCCAGATGATTTTACCCGTCAAGGGGAGAGCACTAGTGGTTAATGGGTTAACTAGCATGTCTACCTATGTGTCTATTTAACCCATTGAGTCGCATTGTGCCCTCATGCACCCTACTTTATTATTCCACTCTGTCTAAAGCCAGATCATTTTGCTCTTCAAGAGTGCCTAATGGGTTTAATCAGTCAAATGTACACAGAGGCAGCTGACTTATTAACCAATTAAGCATGTGAAAACTGACTATGCAACTGAATGTAAACTCTAGGGGACTCACAATTTTAGTAGATTCAGTTATTGTCCTAATATGTAAATGGTCACACTGTAAGATGTAAAGCACATTAGCATACTGAGTATTATTCTGCACAGGTGAAAGTTTTAACAGGCAGGCCATGTTATCATTGCTATAGAGAGAATAATACATGGGTATTACAGAATATAATAATCACTAATAATATACATGAAAAATATTTTCTAAACTAATTGCCTAATACACTTTTTAGGTAAAAGTAAAACAGCGCCAAAAACTATTTTACATTATTACATTTAGTCTGTAAAAATTTATTGTTGTAAGGTGGCTTTGTGACCAGATTGTATTACAGCAGCTAAACTGTTTCAAACATCTGGAATACCATAATAATTTTTAATAGAAAATATAGTTAGGGAAATATTTAGTGTAAATATGTAAACATAAGGGAAATATTTAGTTAAGTATGTCCAAAATAAACAGTGCTCAGTAAATAGGCATAATTTATGACGGTCATCATACTACCACCCATTGCAAATCAACTAATTTCACTTACATCTAAATACTACCACCCATTGCAAATCATGGTAAACTAATTTCACCTACATCCAAATGTAAAATTAAAATTTAAAAACTAATTTTTTAAACTAGGATTACAGATCAACCATGAATATACATGTACCAATGGCTGATGTCACTTCACTTCAGGAGGCTGTTATTGATGACCGGCAGGTCCCTCAACCATCTGATGACCCTTATCTTGATATTTTGCAAAATATCTTTCACCATCAAAATTTCAGGGGCATACAGAGGGATGCTATAGAATGTATTGCCTTGGATAAAGATGCCTTAGTCGTAATTCCTACTGGCGGGGGAAAATCTAGCTGCTACTGGATTCCAGGCATGGCCATGTCGGGAGTAACTGTGGTTATTACACCACTTATGGCATTGCAAAGTGATCAGGTTAACAAATTAAGGAACTATGGAATAAACGTTTGCAGTGTGAATTCAAGTATGCCAGCAGAAGAAAGAGAAATTGTATTCCATAGTCTGTCTCAACCCGAAACGACGTTCAAATTTTTTTACCTCACACCTGAATTCGCCCTATCTCCACCTGCTATGGCATGTTTTAAGTCAATGGTAGAAAATAAATCACTATTGCGATTCATCGTTGACGAAGCTCACTGCGTTGATATGTGGGGACAAAACTTTCGACCATCTTATGGTGAGCTAGGGAATTTAAAGCAGTTTGGCAGACCAATTGCTGCATTTACAGGAACTGCAACGAATCTAACAAAAGAGAAGATTGTGAAAAATTTAGGGTTAGATGAGGCTGTGGTTATTCAATCAACATGTAATCGGAGTAATTTGATATTCAACGTTGTTTCTAAAAGCGGACCACACGCAAAAGAAGATGTGGTAAAATATGTTCAAGATAATTATCGTGATTCTTGTGGCATTGTGTATTGTTCTACAACAAAGGATACTGTTGAGTTGGCCTATATATTTAAGTCAAAGGGCCTGTCAGCCGTTTACTATCATGGCAAACTAGATTTTTTTGAAAAAAATGACAATGCTAAAGCTTGGCTGTCAGGAAAAGCGTCAGTTATGTGTGCGACCAGTGCATTTGGAATGGGCATCGATAAGCCAAATGTCCGTTTTGTTGTCCATCTTAGTTTGCCAAAATCACTTGAAGAATATTATCAAGAGGCAGGGAGGGCTGGCCGTGATGGAACAAAGTCACACTGTACGCTCATGTATCGCTTTGAAGACAGGAACAAGCTAATCCAGTTGATTTCTAAATCCTCGAGTGAAGAACACTTGGAATTCCAAATGACTTCTCTTAACAAGGTTGTATCATATTGTATGTCACATGTATGCAGACGAAAGCTATTAATGGAATATTTTGACGACGAGACAGAAGCCAACTGTAATGGAACCTGTGACAATTGTTCGAAAACGCCACCAGCTATTAAGGATTACACGAATGAATCGATCAATGTGTGCCATTGCGTCGAAGAAATGCTAGCAGTGAATGCGAAGATTAATGTCAAGCAGGTGGCACTCGCTTTTAAAGGCTCGAAATCAAAACGTGACATAGAAAGCAAAGGTTTTCACGTCATTTCCCATTATGGTTCAGGGAGAAATGTTTTCAACAATGATGCAGACGCTATTAAATTTGTGCAACACCTCATCGTACATGAAGTGTTGTTGGAGAATATCCGTGCAGTAGATGATAGATTTACAACGCCATATATTACACTGGGGAAAAAGGCACAATCATTAATAAACAGAGAAATATGTGTGTTCTTAATGATATAATTGAGAAAGCAATGTCCTCTTTACGGTTGTCCTCACCTAAAGCATGGTTTTTACTTGCAACGTATAAAGGTAAGAGGGAAAATAACGCATGACGTTTCTGATGTTTGTGAAAACAACGTGGAAAGAATTTTATTTTGAATTTGCTTCAGTTACTCTCTTATAAGGGGCTGTTTCTATGGTCCCACTTACCCGGGATTCAATGAAGTGTGAAGTATTCTGAGCAATTGAAATAAGTCGCACTTCATGATCTAACAAAATTGCTTGTTACAAATTGTATGAAATTCCGTGTTTTGCAAAAAAAAAAACAATGTTGAATGCTATTAATCGTCTTATTCCACTACAAAACTTCTAGCACTTTCCTAATTTCGTTTAAAGTTATCTAACTTTTGTTTAGGGCTGAATTGCTCAAAATATGTCACACTTCATTGAATCCCGGGTAAGCGGGACCATATAAACAGCCCCTTAGCTTATATCGATGCTTATGTTGCACACTTCATTCCTTTTTATTGTTTCGTCTCATCATTGTTCCCAGGAGCAAATAACTAAAAATAGGTACAATCAGTGTTTTTATATAGATCAGTGGCTAAGATGGCTGCATCCTCATCTTAGGCACTGATCTATATAAAAACACTGTAGTGTGCTATTTTCAGTTATTTGCGCCTGGGTACGAGGCTGGTTTCGTCTATTGTCTTTCCTTATGCTCATGTTGCAAGTCAAAACTATAGGCTTAAAAGCCAGTCGCGAAAAGTGCGATGTTATTTTATGAATTGAATATTCGTCTCGCTTACTAGGTACTATTCATGCAAACAAGTTTCAGCTATATTCATACCAACAAGTTTTGCGTGCAAATTCCCATAAACTGCTGTATTAATTTACTGATTACACCAAACTATATATCAGGATTATCAGCATTTTTATGTTAAAAACTTCAACTAAACTCTAAATTTCTTCGGCATGCAGTTTTATCATGTGTGTAAAGCTGTGTGGTAGTAGACAAAAAGGAATTTATTTTAAACGGGAAAAGCGTAATTTATTAACGCGAAATTGATTCATTCAAACAAGTCACTCCCATTGTAATTTTCGCTACTGGCTTTTTTGACAATTTCGGAGATGAGGGCAATCTCGTACCCAGAGCAATGCCTGTGCGCAGGTTAGGATGGCATTGGCTCTGGGGAAATTGAATTTTTCCTGTGCTGTGATTGGTTTAACGTTTGTCAATCGTGCATGCCGACAAAGAACCGGAACCCCTAAATTTAGGGGTTCCGGTTGTCAATTTCCCCAGAGCCAATGCCTTCCTAACCCGCGCGTAGGCATTGCTCTAGGTACGAAATTGAGATGAGGGCGACTTTAATTAATGCTCTGAATAGCTGTATATAAAATGCGATTGGAATACCTATGTACAATATTAACTTAGGTCGTATGAGATTTTGGGAAGTGTCAGATGGTCGCTCTATTTATTTATTACTCACTGTCCGACACTTGCTCACAGTCCGACATTTGAGCACTTTGGGACACTTGCACATTTCGCAAGGATATTCGTCTAAATGATGGGAAGCTCTCGTGAAGTTTGGATTCAAATTTTTCTTCAACTTTCTTTTCACCCTTCATCACCACATCCATACAGGACTTTGAAATTTTTTTTTTTTGTCCAGTTGCATTTCCTAATGGAAACTCCATAACCACCTTGCCAGTAGAAGCTTTGAAAAAGTGGTTAACAATGCAAAACCACATTCCTTTGACCACGTCTGGAAGAAAACTTTGTTCCTTGTGCTTTGTAGTTTGATGGAAATGAAAAGGCTCCGAGTACGCACGCCTTACGGATCCTAACACATCGAGGTTTCCCATTATTCTTTCACACATTTGAACTGAAGTGTGACCTAAAAAAATAAGACGAATGTAATATGTTACTTAAAAGCCTTCATATTCAGGGTTATTGTAAATAGCTTTTTTATGATTTAAATTTGTAGTCATTTATTTATTTATTTATTTATTACGTTTGTATCCTGTATATATTAATAAAACTATACAATTTTATATATCGTCTATAATTTTCTTTGTTATATAGTGTCAAAGTTCAATTTTTCTGTTTGCCGATTGGTCAAAACCGTGTCACGTGCCGGTCCACAAAACGTCATGTTCGGCAACCGGTCCGCAATGAAACATTTATTGACCGGTCAATAATAAAATGGGTGCAATACGCATGCGTGTCAACAATGAAGTTCCAAAGTTAATTTTTTAAACTTTTTACCAAACATTTACGGCGTTCCATTTATCCAGTTTTGGTTTCAAATTAAGTTCACTTCAATAACCGGTGAATTATTCATACTTTAACACTTATATACTATATAACAAATCACTTATTTACTGAGACCTCGGGAAAGCAGTGTCTTTTGTGGCCCCTCGACCGCCGTTGTTGCCTTCGGGCAACAACGGCGGTCTCGGGTCCACAAAACACACTGTTTCCCTCGGTCTCGGTAAATAAGTGATAAGTATATATTATCTGATACATTTTATACTTAGTATCTTACCAGACGCATAGGTCTTCAAAGGCCTGACAATATATGTTTCGACATATTCGTCCATATCGATGTTATGACCTTGTTTTCCATTAAGGTTGACTGACATGTTTCTCTTCATCATTTGTCTAAAAGCCAATGGCCATAGGGAAGTGAAATTTACAACATGTACAAATGCTTCTGTCCAGTAGTTTCTAAAATTGAGCTGTGCGAAAATTGGCAGTAACAGAACCCAAACCGTTTCCCGGAGGAGTCCATCTCCTTCTCTGCTGGCAGCAATGTACATGTCTAATAGCGGGCCAAATATTGAAAACATTTGTTGGTGATATCGGTGAGAATCATCACATTCACCACAAATTTTTAACCATTTCTTGAACTTGCTCAGCAAAACATCATTATGATTTCCAGACTTTCGCAGAGCTGCAGTTAATTCTTCTTGTGACGGAAACTCTTCAGACGCTTTGAACTCTTGGACCGCAGCAAAACCATATGCATTGCTCCCATCTCTAACACTCTCTTTTATATGGCTGAGGTTTTGCTCTTGAAATTTCCTTTTTTTAAGGACCTCTTTAGTTAGTTTGGGTCTTTTCATCACATTGTTGACTATTTTGTGAAACCCGCCTTTACCGTGAGCTTTAAATACGGCTTCACACAAGTGTCCCTTCGTATGCAAATCTCCTGGAATCTCCGTCATCCAACTAAATGCAGTGCTGTTTCTGTTCTTCACGCTGCGATTAATTTTGCATGTCCCCACGTCACCTACAACTGCAGTTGGGAAACCTTGGTATTGTGATCTTTTGTATTCGAAAGCATGATTGCTAGCAGTTTTTGCATTGCTTTCGGTGTCCATACAATGGGTTGTTGAATTGTCGGATGTTTGTTTGTCGATGAAACTATAGTCAAAGCTTTGAAGAGCATCTATGATTGGACTTTCCTTTGTTTGGGAATGCGAGTGAAATAGCTGAACAATAGTCGTTAATTCCATTGCAGTAGCCATTTCCAATGGACTTGGGAAAGAGCCAAATAGAGCTCCTTCATATTCTGCAAAATTTTCCAACAGAAGTTTGCACATGGTAAGATCATTGTTAAGAACAGCAATAGTCATAGCGGTAGCTCCACACCCTTCTTTAACATTAGGGTTTATCCCAATCGATAGTAATACCTTCACTAAAACGTAGTTTTTCAGTTCAACAGAAAAGCTAAAAATTGTTCTTCCATACTGATCTGTTATCCCGTTAATTTTCTCGACATCGTTCGAAAGTTGCTGTATCAAGATGCCCAGTGGGTCATCTTCATTAGAGTGGGTGATATGTGTGGTCTGTCTTGAAATTCGCGCGTACAAATCTTTGAAGGTTTCGCTTTCTTGTTGAACAGTTCTTTCAGCAACGCGTTCTATGCCATTTGTATCGCTATCTTCACTTGAATTAGTATCCGATCCGCTATTATTTTCATCTGGTATATCTAGCTGTTTTTCACGAGACCGCATTTGCTTCTCAGTTTCGAGCATTTCCGTTCTGTGTAATTCCACCGACCTCACAAATTCGTATTGCATCCGGGCAGAATTTATTTCAAATTTCTTGCCGGTCTGATTAAAGGGAATTTCATAATTCTTAGGACAGGGGATTGAAAACTCTTTGCCAAATTGTTCAAGAATCTCTGCCGTGCCGGTGAGGGTTGAATTGTCTTCTAATGACAGCTTAAGGTTGACAACTTCTGTCTTAGAGCTCTGGCTGCTTGAGCAGCGTTCTTGTTTTGAAGGAGGATTAATCTTAAACTTTTTCTCGGTTTCACTATTGTGTTTAGCAAAGTCGATTCTGGAGAGCCACGAATTGAATTCTGCCTCACGCATTTCTCCGAAAGGCTTTGGTGGCGTAGGGATACCATTTAAACTCTGATTGAGTAGCTCCAAATAATATCCATCACACCATTGATCCCATACCTTCTTATGCTGAGGCATTGAATCTTGAAATAAATGAACTAACATGCATGTAAAGGTGCTGTATTGTAATACGAGGACAACAAATTGCTGCAATTTCTCTCGCAACATCTTGTCCCAAGGGATGTTAATTTAAAATGTACATGCATAAATTAGAACACTTTTGTGAACATTCATTAGCTTATGGCATTTTTCTAAAATACCACTGCTTTAAGTCGTATGTTGCGCGAGAAATTGCTGCAATTTGTTGCTCGTATTACTTAACATAAAAACAATAAACGACAAAACACAGTTGACAACAGCCGCGAACAAAAAGGCAAAGCGAAAGTCACGAGAATGACGTTTGATCCGGGCTTTACTAACTTTCATGACATTTCCTCATTGGAAATTTAATGAGTACTGCTGTATCTGTATGAACTCTATAGCATATCGTATAAAATTGCCGAATCACGTATACGTACCTAAGAACAAATCTTTAACTTTTATTTTGGATATATCCGATTGTGGCATTGTCGCGGTCTCCTTTTCTGTCATTACATCTGTTATCTCTGATATATCTGGAATGATCGCTCCTCGGACTGTGAAATTCCACATATTGGGGCCCATTGATTTTGAGAGTCTGAAATGATGTTTCTTTCCACGGTAGAGATTAATATTGTCCATCAACAATATAGCTGGAGTCGAAATAGGGCATTTATCTTCAATGATACTTGGCAACTCTGTTTTGCGTTGATCGAGAAAATTGTTCCTAAAAGAAGTTGTAAGAGACAATACAATTGTACGCAATAGTTTGTACGCATTTCTCCGAAAGGCTTTGGTGGCGTAAGGATACCAGTTGAAGCTGAAAGTTGTATCATAATTATTACACAGCATATTATAGCATTGCATTCTAGTGAATCATTTCAATGACTTGCTCAATAGGGCCATTTATGCGGAAGAAAATAAGTCTCGACTTACATAAAACGCGAACACACTCGTATAAATGGTCAAATTCACTTCAAATTTTAGCTAATTGCAACTTACATAAGAACAATTAGGGTTGAGACTGGTCCACAATTAGTCGCGACTTACTAGAATTAGACCAGTTATACAAGTGTGTTTGCGTCTTATGTAAGTCGCGACTTATTTTCTCCCATATAACTAGAAATGGCCCTAATAAGTTCTCCGTTTGGTAATATAAGTATCTTCAAAAGCAAATACCAACAGACAATTCGAATTTTTACGGCATTTTGTCCATGAAAATTACAGCGCGAAATAACTACTAATAGTTAGCTGCATGTCGAAAATTTGTATAGAATTTACCTTCAAATGCGATTTGACCTTTGGCTTTGCGGTTAACCGTTATAGCGGTCTGCCGTAAAAGTCAATTTTATAAGAGTTAAGGGAAAAATTGTTTGCGAAACATAGAATGTGTTGCAGTTAAACATGACATTTCTTGCATACTGTCTTATTATACTGCATGGAGTGTATTACTGAACTAAAGGAAAACCATAGCATAAAAAGACACGGATACTCATTGAGGAAATTAACCACTCTCACGAATATACAGCAAGGACATTCAAAGTAATTAGTTCGGTGAAAAAGCGAACCAAATTAGTTAAAGCGGCCAGCTATCTTTAATTAGCGCGTAATTTCATCCGCTTAAAAATATATATCTTGGTATTTTCAATGGCGTCATTCCGGATGATGACCGAAACCTAGTCAAAACGTTGAATAAAATGTTAACTATTTTCGGAGTGTCTATTGTTTTGTTCTTGGCTATACATAATGCCAATTTTGAAGTTATTAGGGAGAAAGGATTCATTATGCAACAGTAGGGCTTTACCTGTAGGTTTTTAAATTAATAAAATGGTCAGATTCCAGTTGTTTAAGGTTCTTAATGTAAATATTCGTGTTGTACTATTGTTGTTGTACTATTGTCATTGTACTATTGTTAAAGTATTGTTATACTATTGTTATAGAACTTTTTGAAATTATTTTCGGAAAAATTTGTCACTTCACGTCTTCTTTAAAATATGTTTCTCGACTCGCTGATCAATTTTGTCTATGCAACTTTTGTACCATGTTTCCGATTTTTCCTTATTTTGGTAACTTTTAATTTCGAATTTTGGAATTTTTTGTTGTTCTTTTCTGGATAGATTAAACTAAGGTAAGCATATATAGGCGGTCAGAACAAATTAAAAAAAAATTTAATATTTTTCAAGATTTTTGAAAATTTTTTTTAAATTTTTATTTTTATTTTTAAAATAAGCCCACTGGGCGTTGGAAAAATTATGTTGATTGATTAATAAATCTAATTAATTAATATTTAATTGATTAATTGTTTAATCAATTAGTCTAGTTACTTAACTATTAATTAAATAGTTAATTATTAATTAACTCAATTAATTAACTAAACAATTAATTAATTACTCAATTATCAGCTGAAATAATCAAATAATTAATCAATTAATTAATTTAAATAATTTGTGGCCTTTTGAAAAATTTGTCAAAAAGCCAACTGGCCTTATGACAAATTTGTCAAAAAGCCAACTGGCCTTATGACAAATTTGTCAAAGGGCCATGTGGCCTTATGACAAATTTTCAAAAAGGCCATTTTGGCCCAATGACAAATTTTGTCTAAAGGCCATTGGCCAAATGACAAAATTTGTCACACGGCCAAAACTGGGCCCCTAATTAGGGTTAGGGTTAGGGTTAGGGTTAGGGTTAGGGTTAGGGTTAGGGTTAGGGTTAGGGTTAGGGTTAGGGTTAGGGTTAGGGTTAGGGTTAGGG